GCCAGCAAGTTAAAGAAGTATGGGCTGGATGAATGGACTATAAGGTAGATAGAAAGTAGGCTAGATTGTTGGGCTCAACGGGTAGTGATTAATGGCCCCATGTCTAGTTGGCAGCCAGTATCAAGTGGAGTGCCCCAAGGGTCAGTCCTGGGGCCGGTTTTGTTCAATATCTTCATTAATGATCTGGAGGATGGTGTGGATTGCACCCTCAGCAAGTTTGCAGATGACACTAAAATGCGGGGAGAGGTAGATACACTGGAGGGTAGGGATATGGTCCAGAATGACCTACACAAATTGGAGGATTGGGCCAAAAGAAATCTGATGAGGTTCAACAAGGACAAGTGCAGAGTCCTGCACTTAGGATGGAAGAATCCCATGCACCGCTACAGACTAGGGACCGAATGGCTCGGCAGCAGTTCTGCAGAAAAGGACCTAGGGGTGACCGTGGACGAGAAGCTGGATATGAGTCAACAGTGTGCCCTTGTTGCCAAGAAGGCCAATGGCATTTTGGGATGTATAAGTAGGGACATTGCCAGCAGATCGAGGGACGTGATCGTTCCCCTCTATTCGACATTGGTGAGGCCTCATCTGGAGTACTGTGTCCAGTTTTGGGCCCCACACTACAAGAAGATGTGGAAAAATTGGAAAGAGTCCAGCGGAGGGCAACAAAAATGATTAGGGGACTGGAACACATGACTTCTGAGGAGAGGCTGAGGGAACTAGGATTGTTTAGTCTGCGGAAGAGAAGAATGAGGGGGTATTTGATAGCTGCTTTCAACTACCTGAAAGGGGGTTCCAAAGAGGATGGATCTAGACTGTTCTCAGTGGTAGCTGATGACAGAAGAAGGAGTAATGGTCTCAAGTTGTAGTGGGGGAGGTTTAGGTTGGATATTAGGAAAAACTTTTTCACTAGGAGGATGGTGAAACTCTGGAATGCGTTACCTAGGGAGGTGGTGGAATCTCCTTCCTTAGATATCTTTAAGATCAGGCTTGACAAAGCCCTGGCTGGGATGATTTAGTTGGGGATTGGTCCTGTTTTGAGCAGGGAGTTGGACTAGATGACCTCCTGAGGTCCCTTCCAACCCTGATATTCTATGATTCTATGATTCTATGGTCTAGAGCGAGGGCATTAGCTGAGAGACCAGTTCTACCACTGAGGGGTTGTACAGCCATGGGCATGTTCCTTCCCTCTCTCTCTCTCTCTCTCTCTCTCTCTCAGTTTATCCATCTGTAAAATGGGGCTAATGATATTGATGAACTTGGAGATCTACGAATGAAAAGCATTAGCTATACAATCCCCCTCTATGTTACTTACAAGGCACATACCACTGGACTATCTGAGCACCTTCCCTAGCCCAGCTCCACAGAGCCATTATCTCCACTTTACAGCTGCTGAACGGAGGCACCCAGAAGCTATGGCCCAGATCCTAGAGAGGCACCCAGCTCTCACTGAAATCAGCAGGGCTTACATGACTTGCCCCCACTCACACAAGGAGTCCGCAGAGGAGCAAGGACTTGATCTTGGTTCTTCTAAGTCCCATGCCTCTGCCTGAACCACTGGGCCATCCTTCCTCCCTGTGCAATAAGGCCAAGTCTACACCTACAAATTACACTGACTTACCCACATCACTCCGGGCTATGACAAATGTCATGCTTTGACTTAACGGCTGGTGTAGATGCATTTAGACCAATGGAAAAAGTCTTCCGTCAACCTAGTGACCGCCTCTCAGGGACGTGGATTAACTACCTTGGTGGAACCCCCCTTCCGTCGATGGAGAAAGCGTCTACACTATAGTGCTACAGTGGCACAGCTGCAGTGCTGTAGTGCGGACGTACCCTAAGAGTCACTAGAAACCAGGTGAGGTTGTGTAAGTGAATCACTTAGCCCCACAAAGCCCTAGAAGGGTGAGAACAGCCAGCTAAGGGAACCTTCACTTGCTTGCCATGCCACTCATCCCTCCCATTCACCACTCTCACTGACGCCATGGAGAAACCGTCTTCCACCTTGCAGACAGACGTACACACGGTGTCACACCGTAAGGCCGAACCATGGCTCTGGCCTTGTGCTTTCCCCTGGAGCACGTCGCCTATCCCAGAGGGTGATATTCGTTTTCCTGAGGAGGGAGCTACCCGCTCCAATATCTATATTCCACACCACCCTCTGTTCCAAGCAGGCCTGTGCGCTCACCAGCCCGGTCAGCTTATCCTCCACTCAGGATGCTTTATTGTAAAAAGCTGACACACACAGTCTAGCTTCTTAACCTACCAACCAATCAGGTGAGACTCTGGAGTGGACATGCCTTACACAGACCCTGCATGTCAACCAACTTGGGCACTGCCTGGCCAGCAGGGACATGAGCTCTCAGCTGGGAATGGCCTGCCCTAGCTCGCAGACTGGGGTCCTGCCTGCAGTCACATCCCAGGCTGTCTGTCTGGTGCTCTGAGCTTTAACCAGAAAGGATTTTGCAAATCACCTCCTTGAACTCAGCTTTCAGGTCTCAGTGGAAAAACCAGGAGAAAGGCTCTGGACTTGGCCTCTGTTCAGCCCAAAGACGATCCAAAGAGCTTGCTTATTCAAGCCAGATCTTGGAACCTTCAGTCAACATCGGCCTCCGGGTGCTAGCATAACACAGGTTCATTCAACGCCTCTGCCTCCTCACACCCCGAGGACGTGATCCTCCAGAACAGATTCTGTTGATGTCAAAGTCCATAGGAGTTTTGCCATCAGCCCCAATGAGTGCAAGTTTGATCCCTCAATTCTTTCACAGGCAAAGCTCCCATGGATTTCAGTGAGGCTCTGGACAGAAGGATTTGGCCTGAGGTTTCCAAGCTGTGAAGAACCAAGTGGGGATTATGAGAGCCTCAGTTACTCTCTTGAACGCATGTAAAGCCGTACACAACAGGAAATATGTCCTCAAAGCGGGGCGGCTCTAGCTGTTACTGCCAGCCATCCAGCAAGCTGCAGGCACATCCCATCCTGCTCTCTGTCGCTGCTCAGCATTATGTCTAAGAGTTGTGTTCTGTTTTTGGTGGGCCAGCATTCCTCCAGTCCCAGGAAGCAAGAAACCGATACAGAATGAAACAACAACAGCACAGTCCATGTTCTATGGGACCAGCCATGAATTAATTCAGCCTCACAGCCCCTGCTGCCATGTGGGTGAGCGTCACTAACTTCATTTCATGGAAGCTGGGGCCCCGTGGGGTGAAGGGATTACAGGGCTGGGAACAGATCCCACAGCACTGGATGCCCAGGCCTGTGCTTAGTGGTGACATTCCTAGCCCAAGTTATGACTGTGTTAATGGAGATACCCAGAGCGAGGAGTGGCAGAGAACGGGCATTGTAAGGAAACCAGCCACTTACTTTTCTCTTTCCTCCTTTGTTTTTCTCTAAGCAGATCCACTCATAGAAGGAAGGGCCCTAACCCTGGCTATGCCCTAGAGCTGGCCTGGAGCATCCTGCTGATACAATCATCAGGTAAGGCAGGTGGAGAATGCTACAGGCCAAGGAAGGAATCCGTCACCCGGGAGTCACAGAGAAGCTCATACAGCAAACAGCTGTAACAAATCCACCATGTCCTAGGGCAGGGGGAGGGGCAGAACCCTTGAGATGTCTAAGGTCAGCTATGAACACACCAGCTGATTGCCCCTGGGTCTGTGCCATAAAAATGTCTCAAACAATCCAGCCTGGACAGGCTGCCATAAAGCAAACCCATCAAGCGGCTTCAATGGGCTAGTGGCAGGCAGAACAGGGAGCGAAGAGCCATGTGGAGAAGGATCATTCAAGGAATGAGCTGTGTAATCTATCAGCACTTTGCTGGGAATCCCCAGGGACCACAGCTCCATGCCTGCTCTTGGTACACAAGGGGCACCGCAGGCAGACCTGTCCCCTGTGTACAGCAAGGCAGATCTGTGCTCCACAAGCCTTGGGGATCCACATCAGGGTTTCACCAGCCGAGGACCCGGGGCAGCTGCTGGGCCAAGGCGAGTACATGAGAGAATCCAGGATAGGGTGACTAGAGGGCAAGTGTGAAAAATCGGGACGGGGGTGGAGGGGTAATAGGTGCCTATATAAGAAAAAGCCCCTCTAAAATCGGGACTGTCCCTATAAAATTGGGACATCTGATCACCCTAATCCAGGGTTGGGTTATCTCCACCAAGAGCACATGGAGACGCAACAAACAACTATCAACCCCGGAGCCACAAAAATTCCCTCTGCCATCGGCTCCGAGCCTGCATCAGCGGCACTAGGGGATCAAAGTGAAATGTTTTACAGGGCACTCAGCAGAGCCATCAGACAGTCACAGCCAGCTGCACTGGTTCCCTTTCCCTCACCGGCAACTGCCACGGAGCCGGGGTTGTCCCCATGGCATGGTCCTTGTGGACCCGAGCTAATCAGCATGCCATATGGGGAAGGGAGGGCAGCAGAGAAAGGGCACCAAGAGACAAGATTAAGTATTAATTAACCCTTTGCAGACAGGGACAGGCATGGGGGATCAGCCAGCACGCTCATCCAGAGGAATGAGTGCAAGCAAACGCCCCTCCAGGAGGCATGCCCCTGTCCTAGGTCACTGCTTTAAGGTGCCACAAACATTCCTACTATAATTATGTTCAGCCTTTAATTACAGTCCTGTCTTAATTAGGTGACTGACACCTCACAGGTCCCTTTGGTGGCTGCTTAAAGGAGCTAGTAATAGCCATCCTTTACACTTATCTGGTGCATTTCATTTAAGCATCTCAAGGTGCCTTACAAAGCTGGGCCAGAATGATCACCCCAAGCAGAGAAACTGAGGCAGAGAGCAGGGCAGGGACTCAGCGACGAGAACCACGAGTCCTGACTCCCAGGTGCCTTCTCTACCCACCGAACACTGCTCCCTTTCACGCCCTGGGCCCAGACAACTCTGGGTCACGTGCTCTGGAGCCACGCACCCAGCCTGCGGTTCTTGGAAGGCCAGCGGGAGGTGCGAAGCCCGCTGCCGGGGCCAGGGCCCCGCGGTACGTACCTGCCGCCTGCGCGTGTGCAGGGCATGTGCCAAGCAGCTTAACGCGCTGCTCCCACCAGCCATGACAGTCTGGCCTCCGAAGGGTTAAGCTGAAGGTGCTTGTGCGTGGAGTGGGCTCTGGCTGGGTTCCCCTAGGCCAGGGGCCTGAAGCCAGCAGAGCTCAGCCTGAGCCAGTGCGCCCGGGCCCTGCAGCTGCTCCCTGGCTCCCACACCTCGTCGCCTACCAGTGGGCGCCTGGCGGTGCCCTGCTCTCCTGCTGCCTCTCCCCGTCAGACAGCCGAGCAGGGGAGAAAAATGCCATAATTCATTAGCATTCCAATGTGGCTCACGTGCCTGGCGCCGCCAATGGCAGCTCCAGCCGGGCTGGCCTGGCCCTGCCTCCTCCCGCTCCTGGGAAACAGCCTTGGCAGGTCAGTGGAGCTGCAGGCCTCAGCCACTCTCCATAGCAACAGGGGCAGGAGGAAGGGGGGCGGCGTGGGGAAGAGCAGAACTCCTTCCCCATGGAGCTGCCATGGCTCCAGCACAGCGCCTGGGGGGCGGCGTTTGTGGCTGGGAGACGCGGTGCCACCCAGAGCTCCAGCTGCCCCGGGGGGATCGGCCCCGCAAACCCTGACCCCGTTCTGCCACACAGCCCAGCTCCCCAAGTGCTGAGCCCCACCGACATGACGGGGGCGAAGAGATCTGGAGGGCAGAGAGAGCCCTGCCGCCAAGTGCTGGCCAGCCCGGCACTGGCAGTGGGCAGACGCCAATGCCGATGGGCAGATGCTGGCCCCACGGGGCAGATGCTGGTGGTGTGGGACAGACGCCAGCCCACTGGATGGATCCTGTCCCCACTGGGCAGATGCTGGTGGTGCGAGTCAGATGCTGGACCTGCTGGACACGTACTGATGGTGTGGGGAAGATGCCAGCCCACTGGGCAGACACCACCCTCACTGGCCAGATGTGGATTATGTGGGGCAGATGCCAGCCCCACTAGCAGTGAGCTGGCATCACTCCTCTTTGAGACTCCTTTTGGCGCTCTGGGCTCTGCCCCCACTCACTGTTAGGCCAGCGGCACGGGGCCCATGTTTTGGTGGCCACCGCAGAGTGTGTCGTGGAATGGGTGGAAAAGGGATTGTTTATGGAGGCTGCTGCTCACAGCCAGATGCTGTGGTGCCCACTGGCTTGCCAGTTCATGCAGTCTGGGCTGCCTCATTTTGCCTCACAGGGACTCTAGTTCTCTGTCGCCCTCCATCTTGTGCAGCGTGGGTGTCAAGTGGCACCAGTGCAGTGTGGGTGTCAAATGCTCCCGCTATGAGGTGGAGGGGGTTAAAGCCATTTGCACGAGTGTAAATGGTGGCAAGGTGCAATGGGGTGTCCACCGCACGGGACTGGAAGGGGTTCAGGTGGCCAGGCAGGACTATTAACTCCAGAGGCTGCACTTGGAGGAAGAGCCAGGGAGCAGGGATTGATTGCTGGGCAGGAACAGGCAGGGCCTCTAAAGCCAGGAAGCTGGCATCAGATGGGGAGACAGGGGAGCAGCTACTGGGAAAGGGCAGGAAATCACTCCTGAGAGGAGGAGCCAGGACTGGCAAACCCGGGGGGCGGGGGGCAGGAGGAAGAGCAACATGGCCTGGGAGTGAGCAGGCCACTGTTGCTAGAGGTAGGGTGCCTGGGCTGGAACCCAGGGTAGAGGGCAGGCAGGCCTGGGTTCCCCTGCCAGCCACTGGAGGAGAGGCATGGTCAGACCTGTGAAGGGTAGACTGCCATTTCATCCAGCGGGACTTTGATGCCCCTGGAAGGGGAAAGCGTGTGGTGACCCGGCTGGAGGGCCGAGTCACAAAGGAGGAGGCTGCAGTTCCTAGAGCGAGAGGGGCCACAGGGTGAGATAGGACCGGCGAAGACACCGCCAGAAGAGGGTGTAATGCCTGGCACAGCTAATTCCCAGGATGTCCAGGAGGAGGCACCACTAGCAGTGAGTGAATTCTGTGACACAGGGTGGTGGCGAATCAGACTGAGCACCTCCCTAGGCCCTGCTGCTGAGTACGCTACAGACACTAAGGGGTGGAAGTAGCTTCCACTGGAGCACTGCCCACAGGTTGTCCAGGTTGACATTTTAACCAGACAGTGTCCTGGGCACACTGGCTGGGGAAGCTCTGGAAATACCATCGCACACTCAGGGACTGGTGTCCATGTGCATGTGAGACTGCATGGGAAGAGTGGGAGGTAGGGCAGTGAGACACCTGCCTTCTCCCTTCCTGCTGCTCAATGGGGAGATGCAAGCCATCTTGCGTATGGCAAATAAACACGAGACCCAAGAAGTCATCTGCACCCCTGTGCGCCCCAGGCTGGCCCTAGGCTCTTGGGGTCAGGGCAAGGAGGCTGCAGCCCAGCAGGGGGACATGTTGTTCTATTCTGTTTATTTTGTTGCTCCTGTTAAACACGCAGGGCCTCACAATGTGTCTGTGAGGAATGGGCTGTGTTAGAGCAAGACCTGCAGCCAAGTGTCCCTGCTAGATGCTCCGCAGGGCAGGCTAGCTCGTTAGCTCCCAAAGTGACATTGCCCTCTATCAGGATCAGAAATAATTCCCAGGCACAGAGGAGCCTGTTCCTGTCATCTCCATTGCTGCAGGAGAATGACGGAGACAGGACACAGCCCTGATGCGTTGGGTTGCTTCTCCAGAACATACATTCATTGACTCCTTATTAGGCAGATGAGCTGGTCTTGGCCATGCCTTTCTATCCAGGGGAATCCACCTATGTGCTCTCCAAGCCCGGGGAATGAAGAAAACACAGATGGCTACTTGTGCAACAAATGTGGCTCAGTGGAAGCAAGGCAGTTCCTACTCTGGTGCCTTGCTTTTGGAGGGGTGGGGTGTTGATCCCCAGCATTCAGGGAGCTGAGCCTGCCTGGGGATGGGGAAGGAGAACCACATTAGGATGGAGCCACTTTGTTAATTGTGTCTAATTGCTCTGGGGTAGGTAAGCCTATTAATCTGGGGTGGCCCAAGGAAGCATCTGCTGCCTTAGGGCCAGCCAGAAAGTCTGGCATCAAAAAGGACAGTTACCTGTTCTGTAACTGGTGTTCTTCGAGATGTGTTGCTCATGTCTGTTCCACGGTAGGTGTGCGTGCTCGCCATGTGCACCGGTGCCGGAAGATTTACCCCTAGCAGTACCCGTGGGGGGAGCGCTGCTGCGACCCCTGGAGTGGCACCTCTATAGTGCGCTATAAGGGGAGCCGCACGCTCCTCCCACCCTCGGTTACTTCTTGCCAGACCACTCCGGCAGAGGGGAAGGAGGGCGGGACGTGGAATGGACATGAGCAACACATCACGAAGAACGCCAATTACGGAACAGGTAACTGTCCTTTCTTCCTCGAGTGCTTGCTCATGCGCATTCCGCAGGAGGTGATTGCAAGCTATGTCTGATGGAGGTGGGTAGAAGTTCACAGATTCCCTGGCTGAAGCACAGCTCCACCGAAACCAGCGTCATCCCTGGCGTGGGAGACGATCGCGTAGTGCGAGGTGAACATGGGAACTGAGGACCAGGTAGCAGCTCTACAGATATCCTGGACAGGGACATGGGCCACAAAGTTAGCCGACGAGGCCTGAGCCCTTGTCGAGTGTGCCCTCACGATAGGTGGTGAGGGAACCCCTGCTAGGTCATAGCATGTGTGGATGCACGATGTGATTTACCAGGAAAGCCTCTGGGTGGAGATCGGTTGACCCTTCATTCACTCAGCTGAAGCAACAAATAGTTGCGAAGACCTGTGGAATGGCTTAGTCCGATCCAGATAAAAAGCCAGTGCCCTGTGCACATCGAGCGTATGGAGGCAGCATTCCTCATTAGAGGCATGAGGTTTGGGGCAGAGGACAGGCAGGAAGATGTCCTGGCTCATGTGGAAGGCGGAGACCACCTTAGGGAGGAATGCAGGGTGTGGGTGGAGCTGAACCCTGTCCTTGTGAACGACCATGTGGGGGGGGGGGGTCACAGGTCAGGGCCCTGAGCTCTGAAACCCGCTGGGCTGACGTGATAGCCACAAGGAAGGCTACCTTCCATGAAAGGTGAGACCAGGAGCATGTGGCCACGGGCTCGAACGGGGGCCCCATGAGGTGGGATAACACCAAGTTTAGATCCCACTGAGGAACGCGGATTCTAGCATACGGAAAGGACTGATCTAGCTCCTTGAGGAAATGCCCAATCATGGCATGGAGGAAAACTGAGCAGCCCTGGATCAGTGGATGGAACGCTGATATAGCCACCAGGTGCATCCTGACGGAGGAAAGTGCCAGACCCTGAATTCTAAGGTGAAGGAGGTACTCAAGGATAACTTGGAGTGGGGCAGACCCTGGGGAAGTACCCCGTTCCCCCACCCACCTGGAGAACCTGGACCACTTCGCCAGGTAGGCTTGGCACTTGGATGCTTCCTACTTTCTAGGAGGACATGCCTGACCCCTTCTGAACACCTTCTCTCCTCCGCATCTAGCCATTGAGCAGCCACACTGGCAAATGGAGGGTGGCCAGGTTGGGGTGGAGGAGGCGGCTCTGGTCCTGGGAGAGTAGGTCTGGGCGGAGTGGCAACGGCCGCGGAGGGGCCACTAGCAAGCTAAGGAGGGTCCCGTACCAATGCTGCCAGGACCAAGCTGGGGCGATCAGGGGGACGCGTGCCTTGTCCATTTTCACTTTCTCCAGGACATTGCCGATGAGGGGGAATGGCGGAAAGGCGTAGAGGAATTGACCCGACCATGACAGGGGGAAGGCATCTGAGATCGTGTTCCTCCCCCGCCCGGAACAGAACCGGTGGCAACGCCGGTTCTGTCGGGTTGCAAACAGGTCTACTTGGGGAGTGCCCCACGCTTGGAAGAGCTGGTGAGTGGCCTCCGAGTGGAGCAACCACTCGTGTTGGGAGGAGAAAACCCTGCTCAAGTGATCGGCCTGTGTGTTGTTGATGCCTGGCAGGTGGAAAGCCTTCAGGGAGATGTCGTGGGCTATACAAAACTCCCAGAGCCTGAGGGCTTCCTAGCAGAGGGCTGAGGACTTTGCCCCGCCTTGCCTGTTGATGTAAAACATCGCGGCGGTGTTGCCCGTGAGTACTCTGACCACCTTGCCGCGCAGTTGTGAGCTGAATGCCACACAGGCTAAGTGTATTGCCCTGAGCTCCTTGACATTTATGTGAAGGAACACCTCCGAGGCCGACCACATCCTTTGGGTCTGTAAGTTCCCTATGTGGGCCCCCCAGCCCAAGTCTGACGCATCGGACACTAGGTCTAGCGATGGGGTCGGGTCCCGAAG